TTTCTTTGAAATTTTTGGTAACTTAAATAATTTTTTAGATGGTATTTTCTTTTAAAACTCCCGCACTTTACTAGAATTTTAGAACATTTCTTGAAAACAGGTAACAACTTTCAACATTTTATCATTTCCTTAAAACATGAACAATGTTTTGAAATTCTGAACATTTTTTAGAATGTGAACAATTTTGAAATTATGAATATTTTTAATTTCATTTTTAAAACGAGAACATTTTGGGGGAAACCTGAACAAAATGAACAAAATACTGGAAATCCGAGTATTCTTTGAAAATGGAACATTTTTAAAAAAAATTACAAATACATAAAAAATAAAAAGGAGAAGAAAAGGAAAAAAGAAACAGAGAAACAAAAAACAAAAAACAAATGATAAAAGACCACAAAAAAGACCAAGGGAAAAAACCGATTCAAATGGAGCCGTCATACAAGAATGTCAAATTGGACTGACTCAGCTCGGTCACTCTGCGAGCTTCAACATCATTTGATCTTATATAGGGTTTTCTGTATAGCAGCCCTATTTTTCGAAATCATCTATATCTATATCTATATCAATAAAAAAAATCCAATGGGCATATCCAATTAATCTCGGCCATCAAATCATGTCAATTCAACGACCTAGACTACTTCAATGTCGAGCGCTCAACGCGTCTAACGTGCAATTAATTTCATGCAAAATGTAATGCTAATCACATAATAACACGCAGATAATATCTTACTTAATATCCGCATGCACTTAATATACTTCTAAATTAACATGCATTGCACATACACATTGACTAGTTAATTAAGGGGTATCCCTCCGACTTTTTTTTGAGGGGTTCTCTGATTTTCTAAAGAGAAGGAACCTAAACTACAGGCTCAAACTATGTGGATCAGATCCAACCAACGTGTGAAAGAACTTACCAGTACTAGTGGAATGCCCGTGCGTTGCAACGGGCAAAAGCCGAATGTCCATGTATTGCCACATAATAATAGAAAACATAGAAACATTGATCAAATTATTATTTTAATTCGGAAATACTCCATCATACATCGACAAATAAAGACTCTCTTCCACTTGTTTTCTTCTCGGTAGTCATTGTGTCTCCTTAACCAACCAAATCGTTCGCTAACTGGATATATGTCATCAACGATTAAGTAGTATTAATATTACTCAACTTCACGCATCCATGGGTGCCACTATTATAAGGTACACAAAGCTCGAAAAAGCATAGCAGAGACCGAGCTCCACATAGCTCGTTATTTCTTTTCAGCGAAAATACTATTTTCACACATTGAAAAAATCTGAAAAAAGTATATACATAGATATTTATTTGTAGTATACATGTATAAAATTTCATGAACATAATGTTAACATGTAGTGTATACAAAAAAGATAAATACACAGATTAAAATGGGCTTTATCTTTGTCGTTTTTAGGCCAGATATTTATCTTTTTTGTGTAGCATGCAAATAATCGAATTACCTGATGAAACTTTTTTGTAACTTGACGAACAGTCATATGTATTTGTATAAAAAGATTTGATATTTTTTAAAACTTTTAAGTATATTCTGATTTTTTTTTTGATAAAACGGGCTCCATGAAGCCCGGCCTCTGCGACGCCTCACTCACACAAAGCTTGACAATTCCTCAGACTTATAGTGCGCCTCTTAATTTCAGCAATAATAGCAAAAGAAGATATATCCAATTTTGTGAGATTGTTCTTCATCGATAGCATGGATGTTTCATTCTCCATAGCAATAATCAGCCTGACAATGACACTACAAATGGTTCAAGTCCGTGTCAAATATTAAGCCGAAGCTATTAACTGCGACAATTTTTGAACCAACAACACATCACCCTTGGTAAGTATATAGTGCACCATGGCTTGTACCGCACCTGAATTCGGCTTGTACATACAAATATTTTTTTTAAACTAAGAAAAAGTCTACAAATGGGCACAACATGAACCGATAATTTTCACAAAAATCAAGTACCTTTTGAATCTCAACTAATGTCAATTACCTTTTGAATATCAACAGATGTGCACTAAGTGGATATCTCTATCCATGTAGAACCTATTTAATCGCGCGTAGTGGCTTGCTTGAATGCAACACCTATCTACCTGCGTGAGATAGGCTGCAGGAAATGCATTGATTGTTTCAGGCTTAATAATTTACAACAAAGCAATATAATAGGTCCACGGTTGGACAGAAACAGGCATCTACCTGAGTAGAAAATATTGCTACTAAAGCGAGTTAGTACTTATAGCACTATAATATGAGGAAAACTACAACACCAAAGTCGGTTTTACTACAAACAGATAGGGGAGATACATATATAAAAAACATGTATACATTTCTTTCTTAATCAAAACAAATTATACACTTATGTATATGGAAAGAGAAACCAGATTTGTCAATATGATGTTGGACTGTCACTACTTGCAAAACCGGGCTTTCTTCTCTCTAGTATTTTCTTCCTTAAAAGATGATAAAGTAACTCATGTCTGCCAAAATACAAACATGTGGATCAATAGATAATTTCTTCCTGAAAAGATGTTAAACTCAGAACCTTTACTGGATGGTTGGTGTACAGGGCAGCACGACAGCACCGGGGAGTGCGCTGGGAGCGGACGGTCGATCTGGCTCTTCATTGAGTCGTGCTACAGTCCTCTCATCCAAATAAGTACATGTTCTTGCAGGACAAGAGATTTAATTGATAGCTAACAAGTACCCGATGCTTGCAATTAGCCTGATTTACGGGTCTGATTTTATTAAAATTGGTCGGTAGGTCCAGCTCCTCATATTGATGGCCATCAAGATGCGCTTTGTGCTGGCATATGGTCTCCTCCAGCCTCTCCAACCTCTGTATCACGACGCATCATTGTTCAGTTCACAGTAAACAAGTTTGTTTAGGTTAGAACATATGCAACAATGCAAAACATATGTTGGTGTGTGGCCATGCATGGCTAGAGTTACCGTACATACCTTTCATAATGTTCCTCTGTAGCTGAATGTTTGCCATGCTTCTTATATCCACCACCATGTCCATGTCCTCGTTCGGCCCAAGCAGGTCATTTTGCTAGGTTCAGAAGGAGTGAAAACAAGAGATGGCTTCAGTATTAGTCAAATAGGTTCAGAATTCACAAACTGCTTTCAAAAAAATATACAGACCGACCATTGAAACTTGGCACACAGAAACTACAAAGAGAAGCTTCATTGGCAAGTGCCCCGGAGCCCCTCATCTCTTCCCTGATGTGGAGGCTCGCCCGCCATCTTCCTTGAAAACTGGAGGTCCGGCCACATCCGACACTCCTCAGCATGGCATCCTTCTGCTGGTGCATGGCTTGAACCCACAAAATGTTACTACTTACCAAGTTACCCCCAATGCTAAACCTAACGTTAGTGTATATTACTTCTAATCATTTTTATCACACCCTTATGCATCATTAAAACCAAAAGAACATCAACTAAAAAATAGAATCAGTGAACATGTACTTGTGAAAGAGAAAAAAAGCAAGATGAAACCAATATACAGTTTTTGAAGCCTTCCCAAGCCAACCAAGGCCATGCTAACGTTGGTTGTTCCGTCTGCATCGTCATGGAAGTCGCATAGCCATCCTGCATTGCTACCCAGCCCAATGCCTGGAACACACACAGGCCATCGTCGTGATCCTCCCAGCAGCTGGCACGTGATCTCCACACCAACCATAACCTCCGTCGTCTCCACTCCACCACATCTTGCGCCTGGTCTCTCGCCAACCAAGTTAACTTCTTGACGGTCTCATCCCCTTCCAAGCGAGGGCCAGCACGCCCTTGCAAGCATCCGCACTGGAGTGTCCGACCATCATGCGTTTCATTGGATCGAGCCCCTGGCAACCACCAGTATCGTGACTTCAGGGAGAGATAGGAGACGATGGTGCGGCGCCGGATCGGGAAGAGATGGGAAACGGGGCGGCGGTGCCGGGAGAGCTCCATGAACGGGATATGAGCCCACCCTCGCCGCAGCCACCATGGACTGTCCTCGGATACGCCAACCCCGGCGCTGGGGGTGGCCCCTCCCCGTCGCTGATGTCGCCGCCCAGCCGTCCGCCCCTAGCCCGGATTCCCGTCCTCGCACTCCTGAACATTGTCTCGATAACCGCACTGCTCCAGCATGGTCTCGAGCGTCCTCTGCCGTAGCTGCAACTCCAGGGCCTCTGAGGCCGCCCTTCGCCTATTCGCCGACGACATGGAGGCCGCAGGCTCCATCGAGAACCCTAGGCGCACGCGATGGGTGGCGGCCGACCGGCTTCGCTTCGCGGCTGGGGAGGAAGAGGGACATAGGTTCGTAGGTTTCAGTCACGCTGGTTTTTCTTGCTTGTTTCTTTTGTGTGTGCAGAATCGTGGGGAATCCTCGGGGATTGTGCGATCGAGGTTTGGAAGTAGGAAGCGAAGATACCACCTACCAACTGAGTAGAGATCAGAAAAGGTAAGAATCAACGTGTTAGGAAAGTTAGGATTTGAATTGATTTCCATAAAAATAGGTTTTATTGTTTATAACGTGATATCAATACCTGCCCGTTTGTGACATGCCTACCAACTGAGTAGAGATTAGAAAAGGTAAGAATCAATGTGTTAGGAAATTAGGATTTGAATTGATTTCCATGAAAATGGGTTTTATTGTTTGTAACGTGATATCAATACCTGCTCGTTTGTGACATGCATGGTTAGGAAAGTTTGCAAATGTTAAGAAAGTTTTTAATGAGAGAGTGAAAAAAATTACCGTGAGGATATAATAATGAAAGGTGAGACAAAAATAAACCAGATGAAAAAAACGACGAAAAAAAATCTACGAAGGTTAACCTACGAAAAAAACCAAACGAAAATGGTGGGACGAAAATTGACCGGCGGAGACTATCAACTGCTCCATTAGAAGTAGAGACTTGGGCCCTTATCGCTTTCAGAGCCGAACCTAGAATATGTGCCCTCTAAAATGGAACCGGATTCCGTATGGCGTTCACCATGATCCAGTGCTGCACGTTCAGTCGGGCCGCCATGGCCGTTCTTTTCCTTTGTTGCGAAGGCACGGCACGGCATGGCGCACGAGGGGCAGTCGCACGCGGAGATCCCAGATATACCACATGTCTGCTGGCGTACTGTATCTCGATCAGCTGCACCGCACCGCACTCCTCGCTTTCCCCTTTCCCCCGATCCTTACAAAAAGTAAACGCGCCAGCCGCCAGGCCCAGAGAACCTTCGCCCCATCGCCACTACCTCCGATTGATTCTCCCCCGCCACCGCCCGCCGCCCACCGCACCGCATCATTCCTCCTCATCCGTCGCCAATCCGCATAAGGCAGAGCTCCAGCCCGTTTCATTGCAGAACCAGACTAAACTCATCGCGTGCCATGGCGTCGATGCAGGCTCCCGCGCCGGCGCCGGCGGGGTACCCGACGCACGGCGGCCAGGCCGCGCGCCCGCAGTCCACGGCCGTCGCCGTCACGGCGGCCAGCAACGGCGCCGGCAACCCCTACGTGCAAGTCACCCCGGCCAGCGCGTCCCCGTCCACCTGCCAGTGTGCGTAACCGTCCTACACCCCTCGTCTCGTTCGATTCCTCAATACTGCTCTGTACTCTCGTGTGTCCGTCGATCCTGACGTCGGCGTGCTCTGGCGCCGCCTTGCAAGTGCAGCCATCATGAAGGCGCTGGGGCGGTACGGGAAGCTGCTGGAGGACGGCACCCGCAAGGCCGCCGACACCACCGGCAACATCTGGAACCACCGTGAGTATTACTCATCCCTGCTTCGGATCATGATGCACGCGCACTGACACCGCACGTTTTGCCCTGGCGCAGTCCGGACGGCGCCGAACATGGCGGACGCGGCGGTGGCGCGGCTGGCGCAGGGGACCAAGGTGTACGCGGAGGGCGGGCACGAGCGGGTGTTCCACCAGGTGTTCGGCGGCGTGCCGGGGGAGCAGCTCCGCAAGGCCTACGCCTGCTACCTCTCCACCTCCTCCGGCCCCGTCATCGGCACGCTCTACCTCTCCACCGCCCGCCTCGCCTTCTGCAGCGACTCGCCCGTCTCCTACCACGCCCCCTCCCCCACCCAGCCGCCCGAGCCCATGTACTACAAGGCAAGCATCCTCCCTTCTCTCATCAGCTTCAGTTCACTTGGCACTCTCAACAATCTCTCTCATTCACCGGCTGCGCTGCAGGTGGTGCTTCCGCTGAACCAGGTGAGGACGGTGAGCCCGTCGGCCAGCATGTGGAGGCCGTCGGAGCGGTACATCCAGGTGGCCACCACCGACAGCCACGAGTTCTGGTTCATGGGCTTCGTCTCCTACGACAAGGCGCTCAAGCACCTCTCCGACGCCCTGCAGCGCCGTCCCTGACCGATCTCCCGCCGTCTGCACCATCGCCGCTGCTATAAGCTCCGGTTCTCCGGCAGTGGCACTGTCCTGTCAGTGACTGATCAGTGTTTGTACTCTTCTTTCCTGTACCGCAACTCGCCCCATCAGCAGTTCTTGCTCTGGAATAATTATAAGACACCAATAAAGCTCCGTTGCCTGCCGTCGGTACGTATCACCAACCACTTCGCACCGAGAAAGTGTTACCAGCTATTTCATACTCGAATTCGTTGCCGGCTCCCTCCAATCCATATTAATGGTCGCAAATTTAGCGCAACTTTTAGTATGGATCGGAGGGAGCAGTAGGTTTCTCACACCAGCCTTCTGCTCTGGGATTACAGAGTATGTAACCCTGAACCTCGCATACAATTACAATCTGCAGCTTGTACAGTACCATGGCAGTATTACAGTACACTTGGTACAAACATAATAGCAGAAGCTAGTCAAGTGCCTCACAATTTACAACAACGTTACATAGCAAAACTGTTGTCGTCGGCGACGAACTTGCAGTCGATCCATCTTAGTCTGTATAGAGTTCATCATGCATGGCATGGAGATATGGCGGACGACGTGAATGAACTCGCGGCAAGCACGGCGAAGTGGTGGTGCGCGCGGTATGTGTTGTGTGTGGAACTATATGGGTATAATTGACGGGTGGATCAATGGAGCGGCGCGGGCGTCCGCGGGTGCAGGCGGTCGTCGAGGTCGGAGGAGTCGACGCGGTTCTTGAGCGCGGCGAGGCGGCCCCGGACGCTGAGGTCGATGGTGTGCGAGTCGTCGAGGCCGTAGCAGACGACGAAGCCGGCGATGAGCGACGGCTCCACCACGTTCTCGATGGCGAGGTTGACGAAGCCGGTGATCCGGCGCATCTTGCGCGCGATGAGCTCGGTCTGGCGCGCGTCGAGCGCCACGGCGGAGGACACCACCACGCGCAGCGCGTGCAGCGGGGGCGCGGCGGCGGCCACGCCCGCGCCCTCGCCGCCCTCCTCCGCGATGGACGTCATGCTGTCCCTGTCCAGCAGCGAGCGCAGGAAGTTGAGCGTCACCGGCTGGAACGGCGGCACCACGGCCCCCTTCTGCTGCTCCGCCGCGCTCTGGAGGGCGGCCTCGTCCGCGTGCCCGGCGCCGACGTAGCTACTGCTGCTGGCCCGAAGCAGCGTCTGCGCCTGCCGCCTTGGGGCGCGGTGGGCGGTGCTGGGGCCGACGTCGAAGCGCAGCGACGCCGGCATGCCGTCCTTGGCGGCGGCGCCGGCCGGGAAGGCCACCGCGTGGGCGCCGCCGGGGCCGATGGGCTGGTTCAAGATGTTCATTGCCGCGGCTGGGTGGGTGGCTACTGCCTACTGGGGGTCGGTCGGGCGACGAGAGAAGCCAACAAGAATCGGGGTTTTGAAGCGGGGAGTGCCGGGCGCGATGCCGGAGCAGGGGGCTGCGGTGGTGATACTGATACTGATACTGATACTGATACTGATAGGAGCTAGCTGCTGCTGGTGGCCACAGCTGGGAGGAGATAAGGTGAGGCCGAGGTAGGGGAGGGAGGGCGAGGGAGGGAATTCGGCGTGAACACGATGCGGCCCCGGCAGCCGCACACGCCCCATCCGGAGGAATCCGCGCCCAATCCCGTGTGCGCTGGTCATGTGGCCCCCGCGTCCTCGCGCGCGCCCGTCACGTTTTTCTCGGCGCGGCGCGATTATTCACTATATTTTTTGTGGCTTACCACATGCCGTGCTGCTGGCGACGGCTCAGAGCCGTTGCTGGACCGCCGTGCTGTGCTTCTCTCTCTTTGGAAGACAAAAAGGCTTTTTACCGTGGCTGCCGTGCCGCGGCGAGCAAAGCGCCACTCCACCGGTGGCAGAACCGAACCCAGCGATTTCATGCGTGTCCTACAGACATTTCGCGTCGTGTGTGCTGTTTCACACAACAACTCCCAGACATGACACATGCGTTGTGCATTTGTGCTAGCAGTGCTGCCTTTGCTGTGCTTGAGCTGTGATGAACTGACAGGAGAAAAAAAACAAAACTATGGTGAGTTGGTGAGCAAGATCAAGTGAATGTCATGTGCTGCTTGGCCTTTTTCGGCGATGCACGCCTGCTGTGCCGCCACGGATCCAAGCGGACGGACGGCTCTGGGATCGTCGGGGTGCCTAGATACTGGTCTCCACAAAACCAGAGCTAGGGCTGGCTGGACTACTTGCTGTAAATTAACCTGCCGAACAACATTAGCTGCACTCCCCCATGTGGTGCTAAACCCGCAGTAAACATCACACGGAAGTTGATTTGAAATTTCCGCAAAAAAAAAAAACCCAGTTGTACAACTGTTACCTCATCGGCAGCACTTGTAGCAACACTAACCGTGATCCGTTCAATCATAAGCAGGACCAACATGGTGATCGATCGCCAAAGACCATCCCATATAGTCTTTGTTCAACACCTGACTGGCTGATTCTATGTGTTAAATAAGTGAAGATGCAAGTCGAGAAAAAAGAAGTGAAGATGCAGGTTACACTTTACAGCATTTGAGCATACATGAGATAAAAGTTGAGGTTCGTGATGGCCACTATCAGTTCTCTACTTGTAAAATTCAGACACAGAAAATAGTACTAAAAATTCAGGCATAGAACTGACATATGATCTTCATATTAATCAGATACTACTTTCTAGGTGCAATCATCTTATATCCTACCAACAGTTTGCACCTCTTGGCAGAGGGACTCTGGATTTATTGACCATTTTGTGGACAAGGAGGTTGTTAGATTTCAAAGAAGTAGGAAATACACATAAGATTGTGCATAATGAATACTGAATCTATTTTTACCTCGCGTCTTTCTTGATTTTTTTTTACTTTGATAGGACAGCACAAATCTTACATGATGATTTTCCAAAACGAAAGCAGACCAACAAGGACAAACTGCGGCCCATCAGAGCACTTGCGGTAACCTGTAAGAACATTACTTCACTTCCTCATATGGTATTAAACTCGCACTGACCATTGACACCTAATTAAGTTGTAGCACCCCCTCAACAAATGTGAGTTGGAATTAATTGACAACAACAGCATTGGTAGTCTCAAAAAAATAAAACAGCAGTATTGGTAGCAACACTATCAACGCCATCCCTTCAAGCAGATTAAGTAGGAAAACATCGTGATCCCTTAAGGAGAACTTCCCATATCATTCGTGTTCAACAACTAATTCTATGTGTTTCATTGGTAGTCAAATACTGCATTATATTTTCATTCTATCTGTATACCAGGATACAGGGTTACCTTTGCTTCCTTAACAGGAATCTGCAAGGAAATAAGTGAAGATGCTGCGTCTGCATTCAATAAATGAGATAAAAGTTGAGACCCTTGATAGCCAATATCCATTCTTGTAATATTACAGATACAGAACTGACAAATGATCTTCATATTAAGCAGATACCTCTTTCTAAGGTGCAATCATCTAAGGAAACTTAGTTGGTGCTAATCAATCATCCACAAATTACCTCCGTTCCTTAAAAAAACAGTGAGAATAATAAAGCAGCAATTCTACAAACAAATGTGGATACTCAACTTCAGCAAGTCAGTTCAGTTGTTAAATATACGTATGGCGCAATCAAAAGAAATAACGGGATCAGACTAAATCCACTTCAGAGAGGTAAGTTCATTGAATCTTGGCTCACCTCTGTTCTTCCTGTTGTCTATGCTTCTGCCCCACCAGCAAACTGTGGCATGGAGGACACATAGCAATGGCTTGGTACAAGCACCACATTAAGACTATATAACAAATCCTTGTAATAATATCCTTGTGACTAGTTTCTGCAGATGTAATAAACAGTTATTCAAAATGAATTGGATCATCAAAGAAGAAAAGCAGAAAATGATGATACGAAGCCAAGCCACAAACAAACCCTGCTTGCCTATCTTGTGCCAAGCCAGGTGGGTGTGGTACAGTGATCATGCACTTCTGTTCTGAATTTAACACCACAGGGCACTTCGGACCCAGTAGCAAACACAACAGATCTGCAGGCTGCTGCAACAGCAACAGATCCATGCACCGAATCTCTCTGGATGCACCAAATCCCATCTTATGCATAGAATCAGCAGTTTTTCAGGGCTGCAAATTAACTGAACGTGTACTATTCATCGTTAGCTAAATCCTGACGATACAGAGACATTCGGACGAAATCAAGGAACGAATTACTAGAATACAAAATCGAAACAACAGACGCAAATGAGATAAAATTTCAGATTCTTGATAGACAATATCTGTTCTTACTAGATTACAGAAAAATAACTAAAAATTCAGATACACAACTGCCAAAAGATCTTCATAGTAAGCAGATACTCCCTCCGTCCCAAAATGTAAAACCATTTTTGACACTATACATTTTGGGACGGAGGGAGTAATTTCTAAGGATTTTAGTTGGTGCTATTCGATCAGGCTTCCTTGTGAGCTGATGATATTTAAGTGCACACTGCATTCCTTGTTGGGGATTAATTCCATACAGATTAACTGAACAGATATACGGTTTACTACTATTCGTCATCGGCTAAATCCTGACGATACAGAGACATCCGGGCACAAAATTAACAAACGAAGTAGTAGAATACAATATGGGAAGACAGCACAAATCATAGACAGCATGATCTTCCAAAAGAAAGCAGATCAACCAGGACAACTTTCTGTTAACTGTAAGAACATTAGCTTCTCACTTCCCCATGTAATACTACATCGACACCGAAACCAAGTTGTATTTAATTGACAGCTGTTGCCTCAACAGATGCATTGGTAGCAACACTATCAATGTCATCCTTTCAACCATATGTACGAACACATCGTGATCACCAAAGAGAACTTCCCATATAATCAGTTGTTGATCACCAAAGAGAACTTCCCATATAATCACCATATAATCAGTTGTTGGCCGTATATATTCTTACTCGTAATATTACTGAAAACAGGACTAAAAATTCAGATACCGAAGTGACAAATGAACTGAGAATAAGAAAGCAGCCATTCTCCCCACAAAATAAATAAAAATAAAGCAGCCTACAAAGAAATCTGGATAGTATACGGATATCAACAAAACGAAATATTGGTACTGGACTGAATCGCATCTCTGTTGGCCCTGTTGTCTCTGCTTCTGCCCCAGCAGCAAGCTATGACATGGAGGACACGTAGCCATGGTTTAGTACAAGAACCACCACATTAACAAGTTCTATAATAATATCGTTGGGACTCCTTTCCGCAATTGAATCATCAAATGAGAAAAGATGAAAATGGTGATAGGAAGCCACAAATAAACCCTGCTTGCCTATCTTGTGTACAGTGATCAGGGCGCTCAGGCCCCAACTGCAAGCACAATAAATCTGCAGACTACTGCAACAGCAACAAATCCATGCACCAAAGCTCATCTCATGCACAGAATCAATCAGCAGATTTTTCAGGGTTGCAAATTAACTGAACAGATATACGGTGTACTATTCATCATCAGCTAAATCCTGACGATACAGAGACAATTCGGGGGGAGCAGAAATCAACGAATGAAGCAGTAGAATACGAAATCGAAACAGCATATTAGACACAAATGCAGGTGTCCAGATGATCATCGTCACAAACTCCGGTGTGGTGTGGCTGCTCAGGACCTCCTGAGGCTGGTGGCGATGGGGACGATGACGATGAGGATGAGGAGCAGCAGCAGGATGATGCCGATGCAGAGGCACTTGCGGCTGCCGCGCTGGTGCTCGCGGGCCTTGCCGAGCTCCTTGTTGCCGGAGTGGACGTAGTCCCTGGCGTTGCTCACGTGGTGCTCGATGTTCTGAAGCTTGTCCCCCTGCGACTGTACGACGACGGCCATGTCAAGGAACACCTGGTGGAGCTCGAGGAGGCTGCGCTCCACCTCCCTGGCGGCGTCGTGGCGGTCCTGGATCTCGTTGAGCGCGGCGAGCACGGCGCCCTTGCCGTGCTCGGCGACGGCGGCGCTCATGATCTCCTCGCCGCGGCCCTCGGAGATGATGCGCTCGATGACCTCGTCCTCGGGGACCTCCCCGGTGAGCGTGTAGTAGCGGCGCTCGACGGTGTCCTTGTACTCGGACATCATCCGCTGGCGCAGCGCCTGGAAGTCGAGCATGATGTCCTTGAGCTTCTTCCGGAGGCCCGCGGTGACGGAGGTGCGGGTGCGGTCGAGGGTGGTGCCCTCCTGGCAGCCCGCGGAGAGCCTGCGCTGCGCGGCGTTGGCGAGGTCCATGTCCGCGAGCGCGCGCTGGATCCCGCGCGCGCGGCCGAGCACGGCGACGATGTCGGCGTTGACGCGGACGCGCATGGCGCGCAGCGCGTCGGGCTGGTGCAGCGACTTGCCCTCCTCGTTGGCGGCGTGCAGGCGGGCGAGCGCGTCGCGGATGGCCGCCATCTCCTCGCGGACCGCCTCCGCCTCCCTGAAGAAGCCCTTGAGGCGCTCGTCGGTGGCGCCGCCGCCGCCGGCCTGGGTGAGCTCGGTCCCGGTCTCGTCGCCGCCCGCCTCGAGGTCCTTCATGGCCGCCTTCTTCAGGTCGACGTAGCTCATGAAGGACTTGGTCATGAGGTCGTTCATGGCGCCGGCCTCCTCCTCCTCTCCCTCTCGCTGCTCGCGCGGCGGTTGTCGGTCTCTAGGGTTTGGGCCGTGGCCGGGGACGAAGATGTGCGCGTCGGTTTGGGGGGAGAGAGATGGGGGATTTGGGGGTGTGGGGAGAAGGGCGAGAGGGGAGGAGGGTTTTAATGGTCGAAACGGTCAACGTGGAGCGGGCGGTGGGGGGAATAGAGCCGTTGGTGAGGGGGGGTGGAGACGGCATCCCGCAACGGCTATGTGAGTCCAGATTTCTTCGTTATCTTTATTTTTATTAGGCATGATATTGATTTCCGAGCAACGGAAGCTGTGGTGGGAGAAGATGCGCAACGGATCGATGCATGGTGCCACGGCAACGGTGGCTTTTGAGCATCGGATTCTGAACACGAGACGGCGGGACCTCGAAGACCCGTGCCACGTGAGCTTCGTCACCTTCGCAACGCGATGATTTGGAACCAAGACTAACAAAAATACCAAGCGGTCTGCTTGGTAAGGCCAACTCCAACGCGTTGATTCAAACGGAAGCGGATTTTTTAGTTTATCTTTTGAATTATCATTCACAATAAAATGTCAAATGAATCGAATTGCACATTATTAAACAAACAGATGAAAATCATATAGTTTACAAACCAAATAAATTTAAAATTGTAGCAAATAGTTTAGCGTGCAATGTCGGCCATCAAATTAATTTCATGCCAAATATAAAAAGACCCAAAGTGGCAGATCCAGTTAATCTTGGCCATCAAATGATGTCAATCCAACGACTTAGACTGCTTCAATGTCGAGCACTCAACGCGTTTAGCGTGTAGTTAATTTTATGCCAAATATAGTGCTAATCACATAATAACACATAAATGATATCCTACTTAATATCCGCATGTACTTAATATACTTTCAAATTAACGTGCATTGCATGTTTTTTGAACACAATATAGACGCAACGCACATATACAGAGGCGCCCATTCAAAATAACGTGCATTGCACGTACACTTTGACTAGTTGGAAGAAAAGGTGTAGCCATCTTGGTCAACCAAATTATTTTAAAGTTGAATGTGAGTTGTCCAATCACACATTTTGACATGATCGGTGATCCTTTGGAGTGATGAGTCCTTACCTCACTACACAGCGGTGGGCGTGGACGAGCCTCAGCCGGGCCGGGCAACGGCCAATCGCCTTACTGACGTCGACGACGGTGGGCATGGAGGAGTTACTGCGGGGGTAACTTGCCCCGTCCTTTGCCATCGACGAAGACGAAGGCAGCAGGCCTGTTGAAACCCACATCCTCCGACGGTGACCTTAGAGGTAGTCGTGGTATGCCGAGGGTTGCCGACAACCATGGGTACATGGACCTTGTACTACTCCGTCGGCGGTAAGAACTGGCCACAACAATGGCAGAGTGGGCATCGTTGGATCCGACAGCGATGGACCGTCGGTCCATATGGTGGTGGGGATTCGGGCAGTGGTGAATAGATTGGAAGCCGGGTGCGGTAGCGATGGCGAAGAGGCCGAGGGTGTTGGGAGGGGGTTGGCATGTGTGCCACCGGCGGATGGGTCAAGGAAGGACAAGGGAAGGATGATGCGGGCGTCCGCTCCGTGTCCGCGAGGACGCAAATCCAGCCCAAATTTGATACGAAAAAGGGTCCAAGCGAACAACAAAATGAACACCTGTTTGTTTTCGTCGGTGTGTTGGACCTTGTTTTTTGTTCACATGGACCTAAACAGATGCGTACGAACAAAATGAAACGGTGTGTTGAAGTTGCTCGTGCCCGAAGCTATCAACGAAAACAGCGTAATAATTTGGTATGTAGAGAACAAAGCAATTTACCCCATTTCGTTAACAATCTAAGACAATCCATTTTATCAGTCTCCTAGAGTCTTTACATTGTTCTCTCGTTGCGACATTCTTTGCACAAGAAAAATCCACTTCAAATTGTTTTATTTTAGGTACACTTCAAATTGTTAAGATAGCAATCAGTTTATTAGATGCCTCCATGTGGGTGCGTCTATGTCTCGCTTCAAGCAAGATAGTAGGACGTCCCACTGAAGGCAGACGTCCGATTGGTCCGGCCTAGCATGGAAACATGCCTTCAGAGCTTTTTATTTTTTTACTTTGTTACAATTGTTTTATGTTTTTCTACTTTTGCTTATATTTCAAATATTTTTTAGATCATCAGGGGAGTTTGGAGCCCCCCCGTTCCATTTCATTTGTGAATAAATGAAACCACATCGGTCTAACATCCAAACATGCCTCAAAACGCATGTTCTCAAAGAGCAGGAAAATAAAATTATATTTCAAATATATACGTGCAGTTACTAGATTTTGTATATAGCATTACTAGAGGTGTAGAATAAGTTATTCTACACTCAAGCTTAAAATAGCGTTATCCTATATGTACACGAAAGGTATACAAAAAGTATACAATTTTTATGAAAAGAGTAGACATAAAAAATAAAAAAATCACATATTTGACAAATGTTAAACATGTTTATAAAAGTTCTTCCTGGTGCATACAAAAATGTGCAAATAAACCTATAAAACCCGATAAGTACACACACAAAAAAAGGAATAAAAAACCAGTAAACCCCATAAAAAGTATAAAAATAATAGAAGAAAGAAAAAACACAGAACACCAAGAAAGAAACAGCAGAAAACCGGTGAAGAAACAAAGAAAATAGAAAAAAGATAAAAACAAATAATAGAGGAAAACCAAAAGAAAACCAGACCAAACCTATGCACATGACAGCGATCGAGCGAATGAGATCCGAGGCGGATGAAAAAACAAACCAAAACAGGTCAGCCCAGAAAATGACAGGAGTGGAAAATCCTTTAGCAAGATGAGCTACCATCTCTTGTTGAGCGAGATATATAGCTCTTGCACTCTGCGTCCTACTACAGGCGTGCTACTGATTATGTTCGACCTGCTGCTCTCTTTGGTGCCACAACGCCCAACTCCTGTTTGGTGCCGTAAGTGCCGGTTACAGTGCATTTTGCTAACTAGCGCACACCATCTTAACAACTCTGGTATTGAAATGGGTCGGACCATGTCGGGTTTTTCCAATCATTTTCTCAATTTTTTTCTTTTCTTGATTTCTTTTTCTTATTTTCTTTTCTCTTTTAGTTATATTTTTTCATTTTTTTCTCAAATTCGTGAGCTTTTTCCAAATTTCGTGAACTTTATTTAAATTACAAACTAGTTTCAAATCTTTTGTGAATTTCCGTTTCAAATTCTTACAAAATTATGATTTCTGTTTTCAAATATGAATTCTTCCAAGTGTTGAACCTTTTTCAAATTTATGAACTTTTCCCAAATCTGGGAACTTTTTTCAAAATTTTATTTTCCCCAAAAATTCTTGATTTTTTTTTCAAATTTCATGAACCTTTTCAAATTTGTTGAACTATTTTTATTTCTTGAGAATTTCTCCGTTTCTAAAGAAACTCAACGGTCAACTCTACATGGTCATCGGTCGTTGGTGGACCGGTCACGATCAACAACCGCAAGTCCACCGTTAAGATTTAAAAAAGAAAACTTAGTTGGGGTGGCGCATACACTTCCGTGTGTGAGCGCCACTTACCCAAATGCACCAATTAGGAGAGCCAGGATACAGATGCAATCATGAACATTCCTTTGAGCACTGCAACTTCAGGTGATTGGTGGGCTTGGCACTACGAGCGTCCTGGGTCTTTCTTGGTCTGATCAGCGTATCGCATGTTAGTTTTTTTTTTTTGAAAAGGGGTTACCCCGGCCTCTGCATCAGAACGATGCATATGACCATCTTATTAAAACAAATAAATAAGGTTCCAACAAGGTCTCAAAGTCTCCAACTGAAAAAAATCTCACTCAGAGCCAAATAGGCTAGAAAGACAAACTAGCCAAATAAGGGACGCCACAACCGGCTGGCTAAAGAAAGATAGGTAAACTAATTGACTATCCTATTACATGACCGCCATCCAAACCGGTTGAAGATATCCCGAACTACCATCTCCCAGCGGATAGATCCAGTAATCAAATGCTCCCTGGCCTCCATCGGAGTGAGTAGCGACCACGAATGAATCAATGCCGTGGCTCGAAAGATAACCTGCACAAAATGAAAGCGTGATGTTCTGTTAAAAACCAAATCATTTCTGTAATTCCAGATAGTCCACAGCAAAGCGCATACTCCCACACGAATATGTCTCGCTAAGTCAGGCTCAATCCCATTAAGTCATGTCCCAAATAACATGTTAACAGAATTCGGTGGAGTGATATTGAAAGCAATGTGGGCTGTCCGCCAAAGAACTTTGGCTAACGGGCAATCAAGAAAAAGGTATTCAATTGTATTAAAGGGAAATTCCCTATCAAATATTTGGGGGTTCCCTTACATTTTGATAAACTTAGGAGAGAAGATTTACAACCCCTTGTTGATGCTCTGCTAGCTAGGATGGCTAGCTGGAGGGGTAAATTACTTTCACTATTAGGCAGAGTTACTTTAGTGAAAACCTGCCTAGCCAGCATCCCTATTTACATGCTATCCTTTTTTAAATTCCCTAAATGGGCAATTAATTTGGTCAACTCTCAACTAGCTAATTGCCTCTGGAGTGATGAGGAAGGGAATCATATAATTCACTTAGCTAACTGGCAATCTGTGTGTATGAGAAAAGAATTTGGGGGCATGGGAATCCCGAATTTACAGGATTTAAACCTGTGCTTAATATGGTCTTGGATTAAGAGATATATTTTTAGTGAAGGTTCTCTTTGGAAGAGAGTTATGTGTTGGAAATATGTCCTATTGGCAACAATAAATTGATTATTATTATATTTCCTTGTTCATGATAATCGTTTATTATCCATGCTAGAATTGTATTGATAGGAAACTCAGATACATGTGTGGATACATAGACAACACAATGTCCCTAGCAAGCCTCTAGTTGACTGGCTCGTTGATCAATAGATGGTTACGGTTTCCTGACCATGGACATTGGATGTCATTGATAACGGGATCACATCATTAGGAGAATGATGTGATGGACAAGACCCAATCCTAAGCCTAGCACAAAGATCGTGTAGTTTGTATGCTAAAGCTTTTCTAATGTCAAGTATCATTTCCTTAGACCATGAGATTGTGCAACTCCCGGATACCGTAGGAATGCTTTGGGTGTACCAAACGTCACAACGTAACTGGGTGACTATAAAGGTGCACTACAGGTATCTCCGAAAGTATCTGTTGGGTTGGCACGAATTGAGACTGGGATTTGTCACTCCGTGTAAGCGGAGAGGTATCTCTGGGCCCAGTCGGTAGGACATCATCATAATGTGCACAATGTGATCAAGGAGTTGATCACGGGATGATGTGTTACGGAACGAGTAAAGAGACTTGCCGGTAACAAGATTGAACAAGGTATAGGGATACCGACGATCGAATCTCGGGCAAGTACAATACCGCTAGACAAAGGGAATTGTATACGGGATTGATTAAGTCCTTAACATCGTGGTTCATCCGATGAGATCATCGTGGAACATGTGGGAGCCAACATGGGTATCCAGATCCCGCTGTTGGTTATTGACCGGAGAACGTCTCGGTCATGTCTGCATGTCTCCCGAACCCGTAGGGTCTACACACTTAAGGTTCGATGACGCTAGGGTTATAAAGGAAGTTTGTATGTGGTTACCGAATGTTGTTCGGAGTCCCGGATGAGATCCCGGACGTCACGAGGAGTTCTGGAATGGTCCGGAGGTAAAGATTTATATATGGGAAGTCCTGTTTTGGTCACCGGAAAGGTTTCGGGGTTTATCGGTAATGTACCGGGACCACCGGGAGGGTCCCGGGGGTCCACCAAGTGGGGCCACCAACCCCGGAGGCTTGCGTGGGCTAAGTGTGGGAGGGGACCAGCCCCAGGTGGGCTGGTGCGCCCCCCCACAAGGGCCCAAGGCGCCTAAGAGGTGGAAAGGGGGCAAACCCTAAAGGGGTATGGGCCTTAGGGCCCATCCTGGTGCGCCTCCCTCTCCCCCTCCCCTCTTGGCCGCCTCCCCTTTCCCATCTAGGGCTGCCGCCCCCCTAGGGGTGGGAACCCTAGAGGGGGCGCACCCTCCCCCCTCTCCCCTATATATAGTGAGGCCTAGGGGCTGCCCATAACACGCGATTTGATCTCTCTCGTTGGTGCAGCCCTCCCTCTCTTTCTCCTCATATCCTGTGGTGCTTGGCGAAGCCCTACAGGATTGCCACACTCCTTCACCACCACCACGCCGTTGTGCTGCTGCTGGATGGAGTCTTCCTCAACCTCTCCCTCTCTCCTTGCTGGATCAAGGCGTGGGAGACATCGTCGGGCTGTACGTGTGTTGAACGCGGAGGTGCCGTCCGTTCGACACTAGGATCATCGGTGATTTGGATCACGACGAGTACGACTGCATCAACCCCGTTCACTTGAACGCTTCCGCTTAGCGATCTACAAGGGTATGTAGATGCACTCTCCCTCCCCTCGTTGCTGGTTTCTCCATAGATAGATCTTGGTGACACGTAGGAAATTTTTGAATTTCTGCTACATTCCCCAACATTATGGACTCCAAATATAATACCAAGAGACCTAATATCCTTTGCTGTAATGACCCTCACCCATCACAATTTTGGAAAGGGGTGATGTGGGCTATGAAAGCAGTTAAACTGGGATACAAATGGTCTGTTGGGAATGGTAGATCTGTTAGGTTTTGGAAGGATATTTGGTTCGGTAACTCTCCACTTGCCACCCAGTTCTGGGATTTGTATTGTATAGTTAATGATAAAAACAAAACCATTGCAGATACCTGGGATGGAGATATTTTAAAGATTTCCTTTAGAAGGAATTTTGATGAGGTGTTAATGCAACAATGGTTTGATCTAGAATCCGTTGCCAAATCGATTACTTTTACTGACCAGGAAGATAATTTGATTTGGCAATATGAATCTAAAGGCATCTATTCCTCTAATTCTTTGTATGCTATTATTAACTTTAGAGGGGTGCAACCTATTTACACACCTGTGGTGTGGAGATTGAAAATACCACCCAGGGTGCAGGGTTTTCTTTGGTTGTTTTCACAGAATAAAATTATGACCTGTGATAACCTAAGAAAAAGAGGCATACCCAAACCTCTGGAGTGTGTTCACTGTAAGGAAATAGAATCAGTTCATCATCTGTTTTTTGACTGTGTAGTTGCTAGATTAATGTGGAAAGAGGTAGAGATTATTTTTGATAAAACTTTCCGTTCTTTCGGTAAGTTAGCTGCTTGCTGGCTCTGTGAGAAGAGATTTGCCCATCTGAATGTAGTTTCTTCTGCTGTCCTTTGGGGTCTGTGGAATACTAGAAACTCCATTGTGTTTAATAGAACTAAATGGATTTCTGTCAAACTGGTCTGGCAGAAGACAAGTTCATACTTGGGGGACTGGATGAAACTGCACAAGGAGCTGCAGGAAGGGGCGATGAAACTCTTCAGAGACCACATGTTGAGAAAGCTGAGATCACCGCTGGAACTGGAACCAGACTGAGATGCTGTGAAGCCGCGAGACAACTTTCCTGGTCCAAAAACATGCACGGGCTGTCACATGGAGGGCGTGCTACCCTGGAGCAAGTAAAGGAGAACCCAAGGCTGGCGGAAGAAATTCATGTGGTCTTCTTCCCAATGAGCTGAATTTCCCAGTTCTAGATGAGATCTAGTTTTATCATATCTTTTATCTTTTGATACTCCAGTAGACTACTAGTAGGGAGTAGAATATCTTTGCTAGTGGCAGTTGTTGCCAATACTTTGTCACTGTTTGAAACCTGGTGTCGTTGCCAGAAGACCTGTATGCGTGTTGGGTTTCATTTTCTATGAAAATGGAGCCGGGGGGTGCTCCCCTTTGATCGAAAAAATCAAGAAAAAGGTGCTTAATTGTCTCATCCCGATCACAGAAACTACACCTAGTAGATCCTGTCCAATTACGCTTTGTCAGGTTGTCCTTGGTTAAAATTACTTATTTATGGACAAACCACATAAACACTTTTATTTTCAAAGGAATTTTGACAGCCCAAACATGCTTGGAGGTAGGAATGAAGCTCGAATTGATAACATCAATATACATTGATTTAACTGTGAATACTCCAGACCTAGTGAACTTCCAGCGTAATTCATCGGGTTGTTGGGAAAGCTGAACCTCCATTAGTCGCCTAACTAGACGGAGCCATTCTTCTCATCGATTGCCCGCTAGCGACCGTCTAAACTGGATATTAAGGGGATAGATTGAAATACCGTTGCAACGAACACCTCACGACGTTGAACAATACGATATAAAGACGGATATTGAATGGCCAAGGGTGTCTCTTCGAGCCAAGTATCCTCCCAGAACCGTGTACTAGTACCGTTGCCAATAATAAACTTTGTCCTATTAAACAAGGATTGTTTGACTTTCATCAGTCCTTTCCAGAAAGGCGAGTCGGTCGGCCTAACTGTCACTTGTGACAAAGTTTTGGTCTGAAGGTACTTGCTACGAAGTATTTGCGCCCACGTGGCATCAGTCTCATGGGATAGCTTCCACAACCACTTACTAAGAAGGCATATGTTCTTAACTTCAAGATTCTCAATACCAAGACCCCTTGGTCTTTCGGTCTACAGATGATATCCCATTTAGCTAGCTGGTTTTTGCTTTTTAGTTCATCACCCTGCCAAAAGAAACGCGATCGATAAAAGTCCAGTCTTTTCCTGACTCCAACTGGGACTTCAAAGAACGACAAGAGAAACATAGGCATACTCGTGAGTACCGAATTTATCAAAATTAGTCGGCCTTCGTATGACATGAGCTTGCCCTTCCAGCAACTCAGATTCTTTTCAAATCGGTCTTCGATGCACTTCCATTCTCTGTTTGTCAGCTTACGGTGATGGATTGGTATACCTAGGTAAGAAAAAGGTAACGCCCCCAAATCACACCCAAACAATTGCCTATAAGCCTCTTGTTCATCCTTGGCTCTACCAAAACAGAACAACTCACTCTTGTGAAAGTTAATCTTTAGCCCGATCAATTGTTCGAAAAGGCATAACACCAGCTTCATATTTCTCGCCTTGGCCAAGTCATGCTCCATAAAGATGATTGTATTATCAGCGTACTGAAAAATGAACACACCTCCATCAACAAGATGAGGTACCAAGCCACCTACTTGACCATTCTCCTTAGCCCTTCCTATCATAAGTGTTAACATATCAACCACAATGTTAAACAGGATAGGGGATACGAAGAGAAGAAGGGAGGACTGGATAGAGCAACGAGAGAGTACGTCGGATACTCGTGCAACTCAAATTCAGTGGTAGAAACTCTGGAAGGCCAAGGTACCGGGAAAGGTCAAAAAATTTGCATGGAGGCTAGCAAAAAATTCTGTTTCGATGGGTGAGCTTCTTAAACATCGCCATATCTCCGAGACGGAAGCTTGCTTCCTGTGCAATGCTGAATCGGATTCTTGGCGTCACGCACTAATTGACTGTCAGTTGTCAAAGTGTGTTTGGGCATTGATTGATAATGAGCTGGTTGAACACATGATCGCCTGTACATTTCATGACGCAAGGTTGTGGCTATCAATGATGCAGAATTCCTTATCTGAGAAGGAATTAGCAAAGATCCTAGTTACCTTGTGGGCTATTTGGTGGGCGAGACGAAAGGCGAAACATGAGGAAATATTTCAAAGCCCACTGACCACTTTTGCCTTTATTCAGAGGTTCCTTGCTGACATTGATTTACTACCTGGTAAGGAGAAGAAACAGCAAGGGAAATCAGGCAACGTAGCTGCTAAACATTGGCTAAAGAGTGAAGTGGGTGTAGCAAAAATCAACGTGGACGCTGCGCTGTCCAGAAACAATGACAAAGGAGCAAGTGCGGCTTATGCCGCGATAACCAAGGGAACTATTTGGGTGCTTCCGTTACAGTGTTTGATGGCCTCACAGATCCAGAAGTTTTAGAAGCTCATGCTTGCTGTGAAGCATTCTCTTTAGCTGCTGATCTTCACATCTAGAGGATTAAAGTAACAACGGGCTGTGCAACCACCGTGAATCATTTACAGGGAGAGTTTATGGGTACTTCTGCCACTATTGTCAGGGATACCTTGAATAGGATGCTGATGTTCGGCAAACCTGAAGTTGTGCATGAAGGAAGGGAATCGAATTTCGAAGCCCATGATCTGGCTAACGCTTCGGCCTCTCTTGCCGCTGGACGGCATATTTGGTTATCTACCACTCCTAATGTTTTATTTGTACCAAATATTATTGAGAGTTAAATGAAGTGTGGTGGTGACCCCTCAAAAAAAAGGAGAGCCAAGATGGGAAACAACTAATGAGGTTACCTTTTGAAGGGCTCCAAAGGTTACTTCTTTTGCTTGAGAGCATGTCAAGTTGTGCGTCCAGCCGCTGCCACATGTTGCTCTCTAGGCATATACCCGGGATTTTGTTCTTCTATTTCTGCATGTATTTTGGACTTTACTTGGTTTTTTGAGGAGGCGGAAGGGGGGGGGGTTATTTTTTGGTTTTTCTTGATTTTTCCTAGGTTTTCATAAAAACAAAAATCGGGAAGCAACACTTTTATTTGAGAAGTACAATATGTGCTTTCATGAGAAGCACATTTGTTCTTTTCAAAAGAAGGAAAAAAACACGGCCAAAGAAACACAACCTTGTTTTTTGTCGGTAGCACGGCCTGTGCTTACACAAGGAACACATTATCATGAGATTTAGTTCCAAAGATGTCGATGGGAGAAATGCAACGGTGAAAACAAACCTGAGAGTTGAAGCATGGTTGAAAAGATAAATCGTTTTGAAAAGAACGAATCTATGAAAAGAAAAAAAGAAAAATCCGTAGGTTGCAACAAGTGATGAACATGCAATGCGCCATTTGTCAACACCCAAGTGAGGAGTGACAAGCCTCCAAAAGCAAAATCCTCACGGGGTTTTGGCACAACTTCTGCGTTTCAGAATCTTCACAGGTAAGACAATCATCACCGCCCTAAGCGAAACGGTGCGCGTGAGTTAGCAGTGAAATCATCCCTCTCCCCACAAAACCAATCAATGGACGCAGGGAATCTATTTCTACTCCTAATGGAGCAGTTGGTAGTCTCGCTTCCAGGTTTTTTTTAGTCCCATCTCCCATGGTTTTTTTGGTACCTCCTCTCACCTCAGACTTAGCCACCACAAACCGGAAAAACCTCGTGCTGAGGCCCCAACCCGCACCCATGCACCTACGATCGAAAAGAGACCTAGGAAGGTTAACCAACGAAAAAAGACCTACGAAGATTAACCAGCGAAAAAAAACCTAAACCTATCGCCCGCACATACGAGCGACGACTCCTGCCCTCTAGGGTTTCCTACGCCACCGCCGCCGCCGGGGAACTCCTCGACCAACCCACCCTCCTGCCGCTCCGCTCCCTTTCCTTCCCATCACCGCAGTCTCCCCCTCCCCCTTCCCTTCCCATCGCCGCAGTCGCCCCCTCCATCTCCTGCCGGAGCCACTCCCTGCCGCGAGCATCCTGCTCGCATTGTACATGACCGGTACGGCGGCCCTGACGGGGAGCGAGAACCGCCACGGGAACGCGGTGGTGAGGCCGTCGAGGATGTACAACGCTGGGAGCACGGCGCCGACGAGGAACCCACCCACGGTGTGCGCGGCGAGAGGAGGCGTGCGAGGCCGCGAAAGACAAGCGCGACGGGTTGGGCTTCCTGGGGCGCTGCGGGAAGGCGGGCGTGGCCAGGAGGAGGAGGTAGGGGAGGAGCAGGACGCCAAAGGCGATCTCCGAGAGCGGCACGGTGGTCGAGAAGGCCAGTACGGCGGCGGCACCCAGTGTGTTGAGTTGCTTGATGGAGAAGAGGTAGTGGTGGTGGTGCGGCGCGCGGTGGGCGAGGTGGGCTCCGGGTGCAGCGGCAGGGCGGCTGCCCCATCGATGGCAGCGCGATACCGCCCCCGCCGTCGGGCCCACGCTGTCGGACATCGTCGTGATCTTGGCTTGTTCGCTCAATGTCGTTGGGTTCTCCTTGTCCGCTGAGACAAGCAGCTTGTGTTGAGTTTTGATCCACTTCTTCTGTTGAGCAATCCTGGTGTGTTAAAAACAGTGTTGTAACTTTGTCTTTGATGGTTTAGTGCTATGCTTTCCTTTGTTGCAGAATTACCAGAATCAGGAAAGGGAGGGAGCAAAGTTGTTGGCCGATGATGATATGAGATTGACAACCTGTTTCCTGCATCCTCTAGGAGTAGGATTTGGAAGCGTTTTGGGAAGTAGACTGAAGACCAAGACGATGGTAATTCTGGTGATGTGAGACGGTGTGGTGGCCACCCAATTAGTCGTAATTCTGCGACCGCATGTTGTGACTCAACTTGATAATTCTGTGTTGCAGGAAACAACATCACATATTTCCAAGAGGAGTGGCCGAAGGAGAACTTTTCTATGTTGTTAATGTACTAGATTTACCCGGTGTCCATAAGTATCCGTATAGTTCTGAACTTATTAACCATTCCTATACTGATAGGTAGGTATACATTGGACTTGATTTAATTCGTTTTCTGCCGTCCAACTGAACTGCAGCTGGAGTTTATCCTGATCGCACTGATTTGGAAGTTCGATTTCTCGCTGTTTATGATCCTGCTCATTGCCATTCTCAACGACGGTGGGTCACAAATCCATTATGCCAAACAAACATGTTTTTTTAGCCGACCAAACATGTTACTGTCCATTGCTCATTTGTTTGATTGATTTGCTCAACTCACGCATAATCATGACCATCTCCAAGGACAGAGTGAAGCCATCCCCACATCCAGATAGTTGGAAGCTGCCGGAGATCTTCATCACCGGCATCATCTATGGCGCCTACCTTGCTGTGAAGGCCGTGGTGTTCTTCTTCGCCATGACCAGCACTGACTTCTTCAGCGTAAGTGTTGTTTCAATCCATGCCATGTCTAATCCCTCCAAACTAGACATTTTATGGGCGTGGCTCGTGCTGCTTTACAGACAATATATGCTGAATGTTCCTGTTTATTTCCAAATTGCAGGAGAAGTTCCACGTGCGTTCGCTAAGGGGCAACAAGGATGCGATGATGTCTGCCCTCTACCTTCAAGTGAGCATCATCAGCCAGGCCCTCATCTTCGTCACCCGGTCGCGCCGCTGGTGCTTCCAGGAGCGCCCGGGGCTCTGGCTCTGCTTCGCCTTCGTCGTCGCGCAGATCGTAAGCCCACCCCACCCGGCCTCACTCCAACAATGGAGTGTGTGCGTTCATATTCATCTGTAGCTGCAGCAATACCGAAGGAGAACAGAACAAATCAATGATAAAGATGGCGTCGACACTCTTCATGAATGCCGTTCTTTCTAGGTGCTGATTTTGTTGTACATAAAAATGCATATGTGTGAAATGGTCAATTAAAATGTGCTTTGCAATCCATTATAATAATCCATCAAGTTATAACCAAGTCCTACTATTCCTGGTTGGTTTTTGAAGTGTTCTACTGGCACTTGTTCTCTCATATGAAATGGAGAGCTGAACAAGTGCCAAGTCCTACTGTTTCTGGTTGGTTTTGAATATTCGGAATAACTATTTATAACTACAGAGTGTCTTCTGCTCGAGTTTTAGTATCTCAGTTAAGAAATAAATAGTAGCCTTCCTCTAAAGAGGTCTGCTGCCTTGCTTTTCATAATTTAAATTTGTACTTATTTTCTCATATTCAAACAAGTACACACAACAATCTTTTGATTGTTCAACATTCTTTATTGCGTGAATTTCAGACATATCAGGATGCAGGTACATGACACTATTGTGTTGTCTGCAGAGGTTCTCATTCTGAAAGAAACTGCAACTATGCAAGAGCTTATTGACGGAGATTATGAAATTTGCAGTTCTTGTTCTAGACATCAGATTGATACTTTACCAAAGGTGCACCAACTGGACATCCGTCTCCTAGGGTGATGACGGAATGACATCGGCAGCAGCAGCAATTATACACAGGTGATGGTGGATTTGTCAATTGACTTCATATCTCTATCTCTACTACCTAAAAAAATTGCAACATTTCATTCCCATCTTCCGTCTTATGTCGTTTTGTCCAACCGCACACGTTTCTCTGGCCGTATGCTAGATTGCAAGAATTGGAACGTTTCCTACTGCGTTTTTAATGATGCAATACGGTTAAAAACTTTTTATTACTTGGGTCTGCTACCTCAGATTGACGCGTCATGCTCGGGCAGTAATAGTCTAAGCTTCATCATGTAATAAGCTCCACCTGCGTGCACAGGTAAGTGGTTCTGGTACTGCTGCTATTTTTGTTTGTTATATTTGCTGCCGGTCTGATTGCTACTAGCTACTGTATGTGCTTACCATTTGGCTTTGAAGAGATATTTGCTCGAGGTTATGCCAATTAATTTCAAAGCAGACTCCTCAATTTGTATTGTATCTGAGATCTAATTTGTGCCATAGAATATTAGCTTCTTCATGGCAATTTCAATGTTACATGTACCATAGTAAGCCAATCAATATCTGCACCATATTAGTCTGATGCTTTCTTACCCTCTCATCCTTAATTAATAGGCATTTTCCAGATCAAATGTTGATCATTTTCTTTCCTTTGATGCATGTCAACGTGAAAGTATGTGCTCCAGGAAATATCCTACTCATCAATCGGAATAGTTATTGTCATTCTACGAGCTAAAAGACGTCGGTCATTCTAAAATGTCTAACTATACTTTTAGCAAAGCGGCAACACCTGAAGTGTGTCGATATCTGTAGGTAAGGTTGTAGGATGTCTTCTCACTTTTTGCCCTTGGCAGGCTTCATATTTTTGTCCCTATGATCCAGGATTAGTTTCGTAGCCATCTAGAGATAAGACTGTAAAATGAAGTTTCTCTATGTGAAGGTGAAGCTAATGTTTTCCTTGTTACTTCAACAATTTGTTATATAGCATTCTATTATTCTTTATTTATTGGAAAATTTTGATGGCACCAAAATATTTTATTTGTGATCCTTTTCCTAACCAAATTATCTCACGATAGCTCTGCAAATCAAAACTTGTGACATGACATCAAATTGTCATAAGAAAAATCTCAACAAATTGTATGATCATTTTTCCTTAGCTTTGATTAACAATAAAACATTTGTATGTTTCTAATTGGTATATTAGCTTAGCGATATTGTGGATGGGTTCATCCTTGCGGTTTAAGCTAAGGTAAATTCCCCTAGATTTACAATTTTATTCAATGAACGAAATGTCTACTTATCTACACATACATCTGGGCAGGGTGACCCGACCAGTTTGAACTGACGAGGGTAGTGTAGCACAATTGTCAAATCTAAAGGTGAAGCCTATGGGTGTGTGTAGCCGCCAATCACCGTTGAATTTCAGTGTAGTGCCATAAATCTCACCGTATTGTATAACCCTCGTCTCATTGTATCGTATATTTTGATTTTTTTTATGCATCAAGGCGTTGCTAATTGTTGCCAAGTGACATCTACGGTCCCAACGGAGCAAATAAAGTTAATGCGAAGAAGACAAAATTCAAGGAGGAAGTAGGATATGGTTATTGACCTAATATTTGTGGTGTTGAACCACGCATGGTTATTGTACCTAATATCATCCGTATGTACTGTAGCTATTTTTGCTGCTTTGGATGGTGAACAGAAAATTATGTGAATGATATTAACAACAAATGGTTTAGCGAATGAGGCCCTGATTGGATGGCACTGGCAAATGGATCATCAAAGTATATGTTTCTAATTTTCCATAGAGACATCTTTTTAACTCTTCATGCATTAGGGTTCAGAATTATTGTACATATATTACCTTCCCATCGAATAATTCTTTCAAGTCAGCAGCTATGTGCAATTGAGTTTTTAGTGTTTTAATGAAGACTTTATTTCAATGTAGATATTATCTTCAATTTGTACTTGGCCATAGTGGGATGCCAGGAAATATCCTACTCATCAATCGGAATAGTTACTGTCATTCTACGAGCTAAAAGACGTCGGTCATTCTAAAATGTCTAACTATACTTTTAGCAAAGAGGCAACACCTGAAGTGTGTCGATATCTGTAGGTAAGATTATAGGATGTCTTCTCGCTTTTTGCCCTTGTCAGGCTTTATATTTTTGTCCCTATGATCCAGGATTAGTTTAGTATCCATCTAGAGATAAGACTGTAAAATGAAGTTTCTCTATGTGAAGGTGAAGCTAATGTTTTCCTTGCTACTTCAGCAATTTGTTATATAGCATTCTATTATTCTTTATTTAATGGAAAATTTTGATGGCACCAAAATATTTTATTTGTGATCCTTTTCCTAACCAAATTATCTCACGGCAGCTTTGCAAATCAAAACTTGTGACATGACATCAAATTGTCATAAGAAAAATCTCAACAAATTGTATGATCATTTTTCCTTAGCTTTGATTAACAATAAAACATTTGTATGTTTCTAATTGGTATATTAGCTTAGCGATATTGTGGATGGGTTCATCTTTGCGGTTTAAGCTAAGGTAAATTCCCCTAAATTTACAATTTTATTTGATGAACAAAATGTCTACTTATCTACACATACATCTGGGCAGGGTGACCCGACCAGTTTGAACAGACGAGGGTAGTGTAGCACAATTGTCAAATCTAAAGCTGAAGCCTATGGGTGTGTGTAGCCGCCAATCACCGTTGAATTTCAATGTGGTGCCATAAATCTCACCGTATTGTATAACCCTCGTCTCATTGTATCGTATATTATTATTTTTTGATGCATCAAGGCATTGCTAATTGTTGCCAAGTGACATCTATGGTCCCAACGGAGCAAATAAAGTTAGTGCGAAGAAGAAGAAATTCAAGGAGGAAGTAGGACATGCACAATGGAATGGGGATACTTAGGATGTGATGAAAAATGACATGCTATGGCGGAGATACATGGAGTAGAGCCAAGTCGAGTGATGAGCGGAGATGAGATGAGATGAGGAAGACAAGATGAAGATTTACGGCGGGAAACAAACACGACAATATTTAGATGACAAGGGTGTTGTTCCTTCTCGCCGCCCCTCATCGTCGCGCCACACTGTTGTGCCCGATCTAAACGCCAATGGCGTTGTCTCTCCTTGCGGCGTCACACTGATGTGCCGCATGTGGACGACGAGGGTGTTGTCCCTCCTCTTCGACGTGTCACACCGTTGTGCCCTATGTAGACGACATGGGCACCATCCCTCCTTGTGGCGTCACACCTTTGTGCGTGATTTAGACGACAAGGGCGTCGTCAGCGGCGAGCCCTTCTGCATAGACCAGCTGGATTGGATTGGCCAGGATGCCAGATCGGTGGGCACGAGGACTCGGTGCCAATGTTGCGGCGCGAGAGGTTGTCGGCATGGGAGGAGGTCGGCGATGCCGTGGCGGGGAGAGGAGGTTGTGGGTGACACTGTCGAGAGATGGTCGGTTATGGGGACAATAAGGGACGAGCTCGACCAGTGGTGGGGAGGCGAGATGGTGGGAAGAGGAGGGGTCGGCCGATGCCATGGAAGCATGAGGAGGATGCGGCGACGCCGTTTTTGGAAAGGAGACGACGGGGACAGGAGCGGATGGACGGGCGGCTGTAAGCGGAGAGATTTCTGCGTGAAGCCAAATATTCAGATGTTGACAACACTGTTTGATAGCACAACATCTTGTCATGCAACTTGGTAAGTAAGGTCTCTTGTCCATTGTTGTAATGATTTATGGTTTCTAATAGCTATCAAATGTAGATTTATCTTCTATATGCATTCATCGGCCGATAAATATGGTACGCCGGCGACAAAAATATGCATGGTGTATATATTATGGATCCTATCCATACACCATAGTCGCTAGAGATTGAAACACCGAGGTATTTAGTGACATTACAAAGATTTGCGAGAGAATTCAATGATGCACTCAAAATTGGATGACCCGGCTGAAATTCGGATATATCTAGATGGCAATGTATATTTTTTGTTGGTATTCGAACAAATATGGATAGACAATTTTTTCATTGTCATAATATTTTACAAGCATTTATTTTTGTTTTCACTATATTCAAGATATACTATTGATTTAGGAAATTACAGGTATGTGTCTGGCTATTTTCTTTTGATTTTGTGCTCTCGTGAGGCGGTAAACAATTGGTTCATCCGATTTGCGTATTGAGTATTCTCTGTTGCACATTTTTTGACCTTACACATGAAATATTCGTACTAACTAGATATATTACTTTTGCAGGACGATTATGAGTTGATCAAGAATTTGTTATTATACTTGCTAAAGTATGCTAAAGATAACAATTTTTTTGTATTGTGTGAGAATATATTAAACGCATCAAGCATATCTTAATCCGTAAAAGATTGATAATTGGATCACGGCTCTCTATGTGTACAATACATGATCAAATTATATTGTAATCAACTTACATTGCAAGTTAAGTTAAGTATATTTCAATTATCATCAAATCGTTATTGACTATCTTTTCTATACATGTAACATTATGTTTATATAACTTCAACAAAACATTTCAAAAGCCCGTAGCAACGCACGGGCATTCTACTAGTCTATCTAATATACTATGCTCCTTAAGTCTAGAGGCCTCCTAATCAATTGAGGTGTTCAATTTAAAATTTGACCACTCGATTTTGACCGGGTCAATAATTTCTTAATGAGTTCTCTCATTCTATTTTTTTTAATTTGCTACAGTCCCTAATTTTGAGGCTCTCCCATTTCATTGAGGTATTAAATTTGGACTTAGTTCACGTTTTGATCAGGTCAACAGTTTTTTTCAAATCAATCGACAACAACATGCACATAAAAACATATCAACCTCATGCACAGTAGAAAAAAGAAGCGCAAACATGTGATGTTGTAACACAAATATAGTACACTCTGTCATTTATGTAGAAAAATTTCCTGCATAAGTGCGTGTTGATTACCAGATAACCTAGAATCGCACCGCAAAAGGCCCACCAAAAACACCGTATTATAAATAAAAATAAAACACACTCCATCATTTCTCTAACTCGCCAAACGAAATACTATGTCGGTTTCAAAATATAAGGTGTATTAGTCTTTTTTAAAGACAAATTTCATTAACATTGACCAAGTTCAAAGCCAAAAATATAAAAATTTATTTCATGATGAATCGAATGACACCGGTTTGATATTATCGATATTGATATATTTCTCGACAAATTTAATTAAACTTAAAAAGGTTTGACTTTTCAAAAAACTAATGCATCTAATATTTTGTAATAGAGGGAGTAAAGAAATCATGAAAACCCAATAACACTAACCACGCAGCAAAGCATGCCCAACTCTTTTAGTACACATTAACTGTGAATTATGGGCCATCACAACAATCTAGAGAACTCACAACTTTATTTGCCAGTAATACGCTGTAACAAATACACTATCCGGAGTAGTAGTAGTCACTAGTGAGGATGAACCGTAGGCGTCACGATCCAACCACACAACACTTGAGTACTCCCTCGTCCCATAATATAAGATTGTTTTTTAAACTTGAAAAATGATCTTATATTATGAGTTAGAGTGAAAAACAATCTTATATTATGGAACGAGGGAGTAATATTCTACTCATTTATTAGTGCTTCAAAGGACGAGATAATGAAATTGGTTGTGGTCGCCAACTACATATTCATGAGATGCGAGGGACAGATTAGTTCGCAGCTGGCTTGAAGGATTTGAGCTGGCGGGTTTTGGTCCAGGACTGCTCGTAGACCTCGGCGAGGTACGGCGCGTTCTTGCCGGAGTCATCCTCCGCGTCGATGAAGAGGCGGTAGTTCATGCCGGAGACCACCTGCTGCTCGCCATGCATGACCCGGCGAAACCACAGCCCGTTCCTAGCCAGGCTCGCATGCTGCACCGCCCACCCTCCCAGCTCCTGGATGTGCGCATCCTTCACGTTTGGGATAGGTCCCCACTCGCCGAGCCTCTCACTGTGGCCGCCCAGCACCGCTGAGGCGACTGCGAGGGTCATGGCGAGGAGGGCGAGGAGGACGAGGGGTCGTCGCGCCATGGAGAGCCGGTGTTAGGAATTGGGTGTTGGGGGTTGGGGACGGCGAATCTGCTCGAAGGGAGTGATTGTGTAAGGCGGATAGGTTTGAGGGTCGTGATGGAAATTTAGTGGACGGCTTTGGTGCAAAGGCTAGATGACAGAGTTGGTACGTTGTCATTTCGGACAAAGTCATTAGTGCAAAAGTAATTTGAAACCGAGCACCAAATCAATTTGAAATCAAGTCATTTAATTCAATGAATTAGCCAGACAATTAATTACACATGTAATTAATTAGATCCATTTAAATAGGGGTATTTTCGCACCAAGTCTATTACCCCCTCCATTTTTATATACAAGGCTACTATGGAATATACATTTTGCATCTATACAAGGCCATCAATAGTAATCGAAGCAAAGTTAATGATATTTTCTCGTACTAACAACCTGTTTAATAGTTGCATGCATGCAGTCATAATGACAGTCAGCTACTTCCTCCACTCAGTTTCTTTGCATGCATGCGAAGTATTAATGATCCCAGTAAACAAGAAAAAAGTTGACTTATAAAACAGGCATTAAATTTTACATTGTTACCTGTAATCTGAGTTTGTGGTCTTGTATACAAAAATGGAGGGAGTAAAAGGGATTGCTATGCTCGTTGCTTCACACGTAGTCGTTAATCGAAAAACAATTTGGAGAACGAGCGCCAAATCAATTTAGAAAATAAGTCAATAATGCAATGAATTAGGCAAACAAATAATTAAGTGCAATTAATTAGGTTCATTTAAATAGCATTTTTTGATCCAAATCAAACCTTTGGTAGTAGTCTATACTATTAAAGAAGAGTTAATGAAAACATAATTTAGAAACCGTGCGTCAGAATAATTTGAAAATCAAGTCATTAATGTCATGAATTAGGTAGATAATCAATTATACATGCAATTACTTAGGTCGGTTTAAATAGGGATTTTTTCGTGCCAAATCAATTGCATGCGAAACGACAATGTACCAACTCCCCTTAACAGTATATGCAAAAATAATTTGACAACCGAACACCAAATCAATTTAGAAATCAACTAATTAATGCAATGAATTGACCATGCAATTAATTACAAATGCAATTAATTAGGTCCGTATAATAGAGATTTTTTCGTGCCAAATCAACCGTGTGTGAAACAACAGACGTACTAACTCCCCTTTATTAGTATAGATAGATATACTATTAAGAGGGAGTTGGTACCTATACAATTTAAAAACAAAGGACCAATAAGAAAGTCCGGTGGAAAGCCAAAAAGCGGAAAAAAACATAAAAAAACCATCTAAAAAGCCAAAAATGTGTGCAGAAAAATAAAAAAAATCGAAGGGAGCAACCAAAGCGCGATACGTGACAGCGGCTGGGAGCATCCCAAGTGACGCGCTCTCAGCCCACTCGAAGTGACCCTTGGGGAGGCTCCCGAAGAAATTCAACAGATTTTTATTTTTGAAGTTTGTATAAACCATTGCTTCACGCCACAATCTCTCACTTTCTGCTCCTCCATCTGTCTCCATCATATAATCGATCTCACCTCTAATGTTTGCGTGAAAAAACCATATTTGGCAGATATGTCTTTTTAATCGATTCTACCAGATATGTCTTTTTAATTCCGTCGAAAATCTATTTTACGGCACATGCGCTTATGACCCCCCCCCCCCTCATCACACGTGCAAAATTTGGTGGCGTGCCGCACAAATAATTCTACAATAGCATGTATTGAAGAATCCGTACAAGAAATTTTTATTTAAAAGAAATTGTATTGAGAAGTAATCTCTAAGAAATAAAAAGGGAATACGATTTATGTATAGATTCCGGTAAAATATCGCTACTCTATTCCATAAGAGTGGAATAGGAAATTAAGATGAGGATGCGAGGACGTAGTTTCCCCATAAAAAACATGTATCATATAACAATTGTACTAAAGACAATAAAGAAATCTAAATAATCTTTAGATCCATCTGAGGTTTTGATTCCCAGTAATAAAAATATAGAATAGAAAAATAGGAAAGAAGTAAATCCACTCGGTTTCATACTTGGTACAACCCAAGAACAGCACTTCTTTTGGTTCACACCAACACCAGAGCTGCTTTGGGGCTTGTACTGGGCCTGATTACATCATTTTGCAACAGCTCCTCTACTATCCTTTCAATCTCTGTTTTCTGGGTGAAAGCATTTTGTCAGAATACAAATGGCGGCCAACACTGCTTGCGAAGAGCACACACCCTAGTATAGAATACTCCTTGGTTAGTTGCTCGGTTCGTCGATGTTATATGCACCAGACTAATGCTGATATGCAAGGCAAACAGGCTGACATGGCTGGATTATTATGGGCCTTCATAAAACAATCTGCCGTATGATGCTATGGTTGTTTTTCTTTTTAAGGGAACAATGCTTAGTACCATCGCGTCAGCCGAAGCGAATCCAAAAGCGGGAGATCCTACGTAATCAGTGCCTTTGCCACATTGCAACATACTTGTCTGGACAGGGTCGACGGGCGATAAAAAAGACGCATGTTCTGGTTCAATGGCCCACATTGGACCTGATGGATGCATCTCCTCAAAAAGAAGAGTGAACGACATAATTTATGACCTTTTTTCGTTTCACAGTCGTTCACTCAAAGCCCGCCTCAGCGCGACGCTGCGTGCCTTGCAGCGGGCTAGGATCTCCCGGTTTTCCTTCATCTCTGAATCAAACCCATGGTCCGCCTCGTAGTTAATTATAACCACCGCACATCTTTACAGAAGATTAACAAGCAGGCTCTAGGATGCTCTTTGGTGCCATTTTTCACACATGCGCACAGATACATGTATGCCATTTCATCCATCGATCGATGCAACACGGTTATTCACGATCGAGCTATTTTTAAAGTTACACGTCCAGTCCCCTAGTGATCGGAGTGGGGCAGTGCGGGCTGCCGTGGATGGTTTCCAAGTTGCACCCATCCGGGTCGACAATGCCCATGGTGTACTTCCTGGTAAACCTTGGGCAACTGGGCATGTCCTCGAACACACCCTGCGGAGTTTCTGCCCCATCCATGAGGATGCGCAGCGCCTCGCACCGGCAGTATGCTGGGATGCGCGACAACTGGTTGCAACACCGTCTCTTCAACATCCCGACGGAGGCGTACACGGGCCCTATGCTGCATATTTTAGTGGACAAAAGGTCGCGGCATGCTTGTAGTGGGTTGTATGGAATGTCCGACCCTGGAACGCACTGAGTCCCGACGGTGGCCGAGGTTGCGGCGAGTACGGCGAGGAGGACGGCGGCCGAGAGGATGAGCTGAGACATGAATGCCATTCCGTGGATTCTTTCAAATGGATGGGATGTCTGTAGTTTGAGGTAGGCTAGCTAGATGTGTATTGCTTGTATATGTATGTACTACGAATGGGAAGAGCGCCAACTGGCGTTGTAACTATGGTTGTGCCTTTTGCTCTCGTTGGAGTCACGCGGAATGGAAATTTTAATGTCGTGTATCACTAGCTAATTAATCTTTACGATAACAATATTTGGAGCTTTATGGCAACAGAATTTGGAGGGGATGTAAGTTGGGGTTTGAGTGAAAGAATGGCCAGATTTGCTGCCACTGGGTTCCTAACTTTCTCAGCATGAATATGGCATGAGTTATCTTATCATACGTGGCCAATAGCTTTATCCCTGGTTTATATGGCATCCTTTTCTTCTGCATTCATTTCTCATGTGAGCTAGCACCGATACTTTTTTTTTTTGCGAATGAAAAAATAGTATCAGTGCTGAACTTCTTTTTTTGGTTTGTGTGCGGACTCTGGATATCATATGCTCATTAAACCAACCAAGTTCTATTTATTTATTTATTTTGCGTCAGCAATCATGTGATTAGATGAGAACATCACCTGGATCAACTAACATATAGGGAATCTAACATATAGAGACCATCTTCATGGGACGGATCCAAAAATGGCCCATCATATTAGAGAACTCACAAACGATGATGTTTTCACACTCATATGCTATCTTTGGTCGATGACATGTCACACTCACTAGTTAGTGCAAAAGTGTGTTCTTATTACATATCTTGATCGCTTTGCACCCATCGAAATATAAATATATACGGGGAGCTCTCTATCAACACTAAGGCCCTGTTCGGAACACATGATAGGAAAAACACACGAATGGAAAAGTGTAGGAATTACAAGTCATGTCTTGTAGGTTCCTACATGATTGTAAAATGTAGGAATTGTATAACATAGTTGTTTGGATGCTCCACAGGAAATTCACAGGAATTGTTTTTTTAGGAGAGAGAGAAGATGAGAGACAAAGACACATTGTTGCATTGGACTTCTCAATGGAAGTGAAAATGTCTAGAATCCTCCAAAATGTGAAGGGAAGGAAGGATTCATACAGGAATTTGAAGCCAATTCTATAATCCAAAGGGCACATAGGAAAAAAAATCTATATGATTCCGTTCCTATGAAATTCCTACACAATTCCTTTGTTGCAACGGGACCCAAATTGTTCATGTTGCTTCAAAAGCAAAAAAGAATAATCACAAATCAAGGAGGGTAAACTCTATATCTAATAAACAATGCACGTACAAATCCTTTTAGAAGCATTCAAATACAAACCGTGTTGTCAGCATCCAACAAAAAGTGAGGGACTGAAAGGACATCTTAGGTAAAGGTTATAAAACTTGTGATAACCAATGACAAAGAAAAGAATGCCATATAAACCAGGGATACATCTATTGGCCACGTATGACAAGATAACTCATGATGAGAAAAGGTTAGGAAACCAGTGGCAATAAATCAAACCATTCTTGCACTCAAACCCCAACTTTTGCATTCCCCTCCAAATTCTGTTGCTATAAAGTTCCTAATACTGTTATTAAAAAGATTAATTAGCTCCATTCCACAGCACTCCGACGAGAGAAAAAAACACATCAGTACTCACGATGCAAGATTATTGCTCTTCCTTTCTCTCAGTATATATGTGAGCAAATGAGAAAAAAATTATACAGATGGCAGAATTTGGAGCTTTATGGCAACACTTAATCTTCTATCTTTACTTCTTATGTAATCTAACACTAACACTTCAAGTGAGCTTCCATTACAACTCAAAAAATAAGTAAACTTTCATTTGGGTTGTGTGTGGAGAACATATGCTTGTTAAACCAACCAAATTTTGCAGTCAGCAAGCATGTGACCAGATAAGGAAAGTTTATACACCTGGATTATTAGCTAAGGTGTATCGGAACCCAATATATGGATGGAATCGGTGTGTACTAGTCAATCTTATAGAAATCGTCTTCATGGGACAGATCCTAAAAACTGTCCATCATATTAGAGAACATTAGTGTTCCTGATGTTCTCATACATGTGTTATGCATATGCCATGACACACACATGCACTTTAGTGAAGTGAGTTTTAGTATTTGCTCAATGACATGTCTCACTCGCTGGTTAGTACAAAAGTGTGTTCTTATTAGATATCTTGATCACTTTGCATCCATCGGGAATATAAATATATATCTATCAACATTATTTTGTGCATTTTGCATTCAAAAGCAAAAAAAATTAAATAACTCACAAATCTAGAGGCGCAAACTCCATATCTAATAAAAACACTTATTTTTAGAAGCATTCAAATATAAATCGCGTTGTCATCATCCACTAAAAAGTGAGAGACTGAAAGGATGTCTTGGCCAATATGTGGATTCACGTGGTAATGATAAAGTATTAAGGTCCCGTTCGGAACGTTGCCAGCTTCCCGAGAAGCCAGCCGCCACCAACTTCTGATGGGAGCATGATGCGTTCAGCAGCAGCTCCTCTCCGTCAGCATGGGCTGGCAGCCCAAGGGAGCTTGAGGCCCAGTCAGTGGCTCGTAGCGAGAGGAAAACTGTTCGAGGAGTGAAAAACGTTTTGAGGATGGCACTTTGGAAGGGCATTCCCACATAATTTCGGGCAACTTCCCCTTCCATTTTCACGAAGTTGCGTTTCCCCTGCTCTAGGAATTTGCACTATGGGCTGCTCTTTCTCCATGAGCGGGCTTCTCGAAGCCGGATCGTTCAGCTGGCTTCTCAAGGCTATTTCGGGAAGCTGGATCATTTTTTTGAACCGGGCATTACCCCTTTTCATTACTGCAACATAACGGAAATACGGCAGTCCAAAGAATGGGAAAAGGGGAAGCGAATCCAAAGCATCGCAGGGAAACCCACTGTGAGCACTCGCCATCGAGATTACTCACCGTGGGGCAAAAACCCGACGACACCAAATCTCAGTATCTAGAATCCAGGGCCTACAGCCCCAAAAGGACACAAGTTATAAGGCTCACAACAACTGAGCAACAAATGATCAGGCCCACGCAGGGGGAAAGCAACTCAACATCTAGCTAAACCATGGAATCATAGCTTCTACAGATCAACGAGCCGATTCTTCATGGTTCGCCGCACAGATTCTCATCATCATTGACGCATTCTCCTTCAGCATCTTTGCCCCATCCCTCATGGTAGCCGCATCATCTTGCTTCAGCAATCCTGCCCAGTAGCACATTAGAGCACATGCAGAAAAAATACATTCAAAAGGATTTTTAAGCGGATTGAACTCGAAGGTAGCTCTATTGCGACAAGACAAGATCGCCCAACACACAACAGCAATCCCCACTGTATAAAACTTTTCCCCACCAGGGAAGAATGTAAAGCACCATACATAAGCTTGCCAAATGTTATCAGGGCACAGAGCAGTGCCAAACATGCATGCCACTGTCCTCCAGGTCACCCTAGCAACAGGGCAAGTAAAAACAAATGTTGTGCAGTCTCTCGCCCACCATAGAAAGAGCATTTAGGATTCCCTTTCCAACCTCGATGTTACATCACATCTCTAGTTAGGACAGCATCCTGAAACAATTGCCACAAGAAGATTTGAATTTTTAGAGGTATCCTGGCATTCCAGATCCATCTGTAGTCGCACCCAGCAATATTCCTTTCCAGAAGAGAGTATACAGATTTCGTGGTGAATGAAGATTTCCCTCCCAGGCCCCATTTAATCACATCAGTGGCTTCTGAGACACAGGCTTCTCTTGCCATGTTACCCACAGTCAACCATTGTTCGCTGAGTTCATTGTTTAGTCTCCTTCTAAAGAAAGAGGAGGGATCAACATTTAAGCACTTATCAACTGTGCATTCAGGATAGTTGCATATAGAAATAAATGAGGGAATTGTTCAGCCAGAGGGATATTGTCCCCAATGGGGTCAATCCATAGCCTGGCAATGTCTCCTGATTGTACAATCACTCTCCTTCCTGCCATATAAAGATATTTCACCTTCATAATGGCATTTCAGCATGGCGAGTCATTGCTCTTCATTTTAATATCAGCCACTGTGGCCCTACTAAAATATTTGGCTTTCACAGTATCCTGCCACAAGCCTGATTTAGTTTCTAATTTCCACCACCATTTAGTAAGCAAATTGAGATTTTGTTTATGTAAATCCTTCACACCCAGCCCTCCTTTGTTCTTATATCTGCATATTCTAGTCCACTTAACCAGATAATAGCGTTTCTTATTCTGAGTCACATGCCAAAAGAATCTTCTTCTACACTTGTCAATCCTAGCAAGTATAGTTTTGGATAGAAGAAATATGGACATATAGTAAAAAGCAATGCTAGAGATATTGGCATTAAGTAACGTCAGGCGACCTCTGGAGGAGGCATTGCCCCCAGTCCAGAATCACATTTTTTAATGTATCTGGACTCCAAAAAGTCCCAATCTGCTGCTCGCAAGGAGGAAAAAGTCACTGGCACCCCCAGATACTTCATGGGAAAATGCCCTATTTGACAGTCAAAGATATCAACATAAGCTTTAAGAATATCATCATCTCCCTCCACACACAGGATTTCACTTTTTTGAAAATTGATTTTGAGCCCGGACATGAGCTCGAAGACATATAGTAACAGTTTCATGTTCACTGTCTTATCCAGGTCGTGATCTATGTACAAGACCATGTCATCTGCATATTGCAGAATAACTACTCCATTTTCAATAAGATCCGGTGCAAGCCCAACAATTAGGTTTTTTTTCTGGGTCTGTAGCACCATTTTACACACGCACTTGACTGCAATGTTAAAGAGGAACGGCGACACAGGATCTCCCTGTCTAACCCCCTTAAAGCTTTTGAAATACGGCCCCATAGTGTTATTCAACTTAACACTGACTGTGTCATCAACCAAGACACTTTTAACCCACTTACACCAAGTGGTACCAAACCCTCTCATCTTGAGACATTCCAACAAGAAGTCCCAGTTTACCTTGTCATACGCTTTCTCGAA